AAAATAGGTTTAGGTTGGCTTTTATATGAGTTGGGGGCGTCTAGGGGTCGAAATAACCGAGTCATAGTCGAAAAAGGACACTTTCCCGTCGTGAGCGTCCAGGGCAGCGTGGGGCGCTGGCCCTGGCGCTCAAATATTTTGGCTGCTGTAAATTGCGCCACAGCCAGGCCCTCAAATCTCACTTTTTGCGTTTTTGTCCCGATTTCGCTCCAATTCGCGCTCTTTCGTCCCAAATTGCATCCGAATGATCCCTACACATAGAAATACCAAAATTTAGCACAAATAATCATATTAAACATCTCAAATCGTCGAGACATGAGCAAAATGTGATGCGATATATATCAAAATATGCATACATTAAGCCGATTATCATTGAGACACTGCAAAGGGAAAAGACGCGCACCTTATTAACAGTAGTTCTACAGCAATCCCAACAATTGTAAAATCATTCGTAGACAAAATCAGCGTGCAACCAGCACCTATATATGTTAATTACTCATATGATAAAATGATATAATCTCTCAAGCAAACATATATAACAGTACAACTGGTTTAATTCATATCTTCCACAAGCAAAATGCATCAGAAGCAAATAAGCAATAGGAAAACATACCTCTTGGAAAGCTTTCATTGGGGCACCACATGCACCCACATCAATGCTATTTGAAGTCGCAACAGCTGAGGAGGCAGGATCAGTAACGTCAAATCTAATCACACGCGGGCCTAACACGGCATCCACTGCCCTATGACCGACTGCATTTCCACTACAAAAGGCCATTCCTATTGTTCACCATCAGAATAAGAGCATTTAGCACATAGTATTTATTAAAGATAGATAATTCATATTTTCAGAATCTGCTATATGGTCTATTTGGAAGATGACCACTAACCATCAGCAAACGAAGAGCCAAGACCTCCTGCCGCAGGTTGACTCTGTACAGGGGCTGGAGGAGGAGCAGGAGAAACTGCAACATATGGAAATCAATATTCTAAGTTGTCAAAATACTTATAATTCGGGTGTGCAGCCAAAATTGTGGGCTCTTCTTTGGCTTGTTGGCAGCAGGACGAGGAGATGACCGAGATGACGACCATGGTAACCAGCTTCCTGCAAAATCAAAGCTTTGGGTGATAAGTATGGGAATATGATCCAGGATTCATTAAGGCCATGGTGTCATATCCTTACGTACAGCAAAGTCCGCAATAATACTACCAATATTTTATTTTCCAATTAAAAAAAAATACTACCAATATTTAATACTAGTGTACAAGAAGATGCAGAACCTTGTCAACTTCTATCCATCTCTCTCAAATTTGTTACTAATCCGCACCTAATTACACTTGAATGAATCATCAGTATATTCACAATGTGGCTACATAGTACTACGCATACTCCCTGGTGCCATATATCTTAATTAAATACCCAGAAATTTATTAGTTTGTAGTACCTTCAAATTGTCCATGTCGCTTAACAGTTCTACATCAGGAATTTGTATAGTATAACGTAAAATGTTCTCTACTAATTAAGAAGTTCAATAAAGGATTTTCTAACTTAGATGTATGATAATCTATAAGGTATTAAGGTGTATGATGAGGATATCTTTGTTTTTGAGTATTAAAGAATGGTGTAAGAAGCAAGTCTATACAGATCTGTGCAAGTTAAATAGTTGATTGGGTAAGTGAATATTATATGAACAATTTCAACAATTCACTGCAAACAAATTCATCATACCAATAGCATGTTCCGTGTACCAAAATCTTTTCTGAAGTCCTACCAACAATATTTTTCGTTGTGCCAAATAAATTTTCAACATACTAAAACACACCCGACATGACAATATCAATAGGTTG